AGCGTCTCATTTTATAAAAGAGAGAATTACAACTGTGTGTGTGTGTTAGTAGGGGTTCAACTGAGGGCCTGGGTGCACTCTCTCTTAGCTTTTTCACTCAAGGCTGGCATCTCCCATTGGAGCCACAGCTCCACTTCTGGCTTTTTAGTGGCAATAAGAATTTCACAGAAAGCCGGGCGCTGGTGGCTCATGCCTGTAATCCTAGCTACTCAGGAGGCTGAGATCTGAGGATCACAGTTCAAAGCCAGCCCGGGCAGGAGAGACCATGAGACTCCTATCTCCAATAAACCACCAGAAAACCGGAAGTGGCGCTATAGCTCAAGTGGTAGAGAGCTCGCCTTGAGCTGAAGAGCCGACCAAAAAAAAAAAAAAAAAGAATTTCACAGACTTTCCTGCCCAGACTGGTTTTAGAGCATGATCCCAAATCTCAGCCTCTAAAGAAACTAGAATTACAAGCCTATTACCCAGCCTGAGAATTTAACTCTAGGGTTGGAATTGTTGAAGATCTATCCTTTTTCTTTTTTTAATTACCGAGTATTTGCTTTTACATGTACACATAGATAATAACTCCTATAAAGAGTTATGAGACATAATCAACAGATACTAAGTGTAAAGCTTTGATTTAAAAAAATAGCTACCTCAGCTAGACTGTAAGCCCCTTAAGGCCAGGAGCCGGGCCTGCCTGGTCCCGCTGTGGGAAGCATATTCGCAGGTGTTCCAGAGATGAGCATATCAAGGCTGAGAACCCTAGAACCCTGTCAGTTTATGAGCGGTGCCTGCGACAGAATGCAGTCAGCTATTAGTATGGAAGGTGAGAAAACCCTGCAGAGCATACAGTGACTTATGCATTGTGCGTTCAGCCTGTGGGTTCATGAGCACCCACAACATTTGAGCTCACAACTGTGGGAATTGCCAGTGAGAAAGCTATAGCTAACAACACATCTAAATAAAGTGATTAAAAAAAAAAAAACAGTGGGGTGCTGGGAAGGTGGCTCAGTGGTAGAGCACTTGCCTTGCATGCATGAGGCCCTGGGTTCAATTCCTCAGCACCACATAAGCAGAAAAAAAAAACCGGAAGTGGTGCTATGGCTCAAGTGGTAGAGTGCTAGGCCTTGAGCTGAAGAGCTGAGGGACAGCGCCCAGGCCCAGAGTTCAGGCCCATGACCGGACCCCCCCAAAAAACCAGCGAAGATGGCAAGCGGACAGATGGTGGAGCAGTTCCCAATCTCCAGTCTCACATTTGGAGATGTGGCCTCCCCTGTGCCAGCTGCTCACAAGCAGTCCCGAGGACCCGTGGTGTGCTGACAAGCAGGATACCTGCCACTGTCCTTCTCAGTGCAGGGAGGAGAGCAGGGTAGACGAGCCAGGAAGAGCCTCACCAAGCATGCTGACCACAAGATGGCCTGGGCATGGACTCCTGGGGGCCAGCAGGGCTCTGTGCAGCAGTTTGGCCTTGACACTCACAGCGGAGAAATCTATAGACCTCATTTTATTCTGTAGTTCTGTAATGGAGATTCTGAGTCATGAAGAAAAGTTGAACTATTTTATCTAGAAGGCTGAAGTGTGGTTATCAGTTGCTGCAGGACAACCTCCCTCCCTGCCCCCCCCCCCAAAAAAAACCTAGGCAGTAGCATTTATAGCCTCTTGAGATTCTGGGTGGCCTGGCCTCTCTGGGATGTGGATTGGGAGCTCAGCATGGTGGTGGCTAGGTCTGCATCATCCGAAGGCTGGACGGGGCTGGAGCCTCTGAGAGAGCTCACTCATGAGCTTGGGTTGAGGTGTGAGCCAACTGTCCACACCTGGGGCTCAGAATTCCGGAATGGAAACTGGTTTAGACGCTGTGTTGCACACAGAGGGCCTTGGAAGTGACTCAGAGGCCCGGCGCTGCCTTCTCCAGGTCACAGTGAGTCTGTCACTGGCCCTCAGGCTCACTGTCCCATTGGCGTAGTGGCAACACTTCCTCGCCATCTTTCAGACGCCCACAGTTTAGTGGGTAAAAACACGATGTGGGACTGAGAATCAACTGGGCCTTAGGGCTCTAGAAGGAGAACTGTGCGGAAGGGCTCTCTAGGTAGCCCCAAGGGTTCCAAGTGGTCACTGCGTGGTTGACACAACACAAGCTTTTGCTCTAAAGAGCATGAGATCGTTTACTCTGAGCCAGATGTGAGTGAGTGGGCCTGGAAATACAGGTCAGGTCACTCTGAGTGACAGGTTCCACTGTGGAAAGGGTCACATGAGCTTTTATAGTCCAGAACAAGAGAAAGTTGTGAAGGAGTGCACTTTCCCAAATGCAATGATGCGGGGATCAGATTAGAAAGGTCACAGCAAAGTGGGCGATCTCTTCTGTTGGTTCACAGGTTTTAACATTCTTGGCTCTAGGGTTGGTGGGAGCTAGGGGCCTGCTGAGTGTACCAGTACATTGCAAGAGTTTTACCTAACAGTCCAAAAGATGTTACATCAGATAAGGTGATTGGTAAGTGTCTATTAAGGACACTAAAGATAACCTAAGATAATTCTGATGGCAATATTCTTTTTCTCCACAATGGTGATGTTCCAGTCAGTCAATCTGCAAGATTTCTAATATAGATAAGCTTTTTTAGAGAAATCCAGTCACCTTAATTCCAAGATTGTTACACTCGGAGTAGTATAAGTTAACAGCAACATATGTAGTAAAAATATTATACTTGTGGAAGGTGGCTGGTCCCTGGGCTTGAACTCAGGACCACTAGCTTGATGGCCTTTCTTGCTTACAGCTGATACTCTGCCATACTCCAGCCATTTTTTGCTGTTTAATTGGAGATAGAGTCTCACAGACTTTCTGCCCAGTCTGGCTTTGAACTGGGATCCTCCTTGGCACTCAGCTAGATGTATTTTTTTTTTCAGTCATGGGCTTGGGCACTGTCCCTGAGCTCTTTTGCTTTAGGCTAGCACCCTACCACTTTGAGCCACAGCACCACTTTAGTTTATTGGAGGTAAGATTCTCACGGTCTTGTTTTTAACCCAAATCCTCAAATCTCAGCCTCCTAAGTAGTTAGAATTACAGGTGTGAGCCATTAGTTCCAGCCTATTTTTTTTCTTTAACTGGTTAAAATAGAGAGTTCTTAAGAGAATTGAAGGTTATAATTGTCGTTAAATCCACACATAGTTCTAGAATCCTTAGGAGAAATCCTAATGAGAAAAAAAGAAAACTTGAATTGGAAGCTCAATTTAAACTTCTGGCAGGAGAAACTTCTGATTGTTGGATAGCATCTCAATGCATACTTGTCCTGGCATGTCAAGCTAATGTTTTCTGGTTCTAGTCTAGGGTCTGGCCTGGCCTGGGCAGGGAAGAGTTACGAAGTAAATTCATAGTAAGGTATTTGTATTGCATACCATTGTGATTCAATTTTAATTGGAACAGTGGCTTTCAGAATGAAAGGTTTTGTGTCAGTAGTGGTACTTGAACTCAGGGTCTCCCTCTCATTTTTTTTTTTTTTTAAGGCATCAAGGCTGGCACTCTACCACTTCAACCAAACTTCTATTTCCAACTTTTTGCTGATTAATTAGAACTAAGAATCTCAGAGAGTTTTCTGCCTGACTGACTTTAAACAACAGTCCTCAGATCTCACCTCCTGAAGAGGTGTGAGCTACCAGAATCTGGCTCAAAATGTTGTTTTTCATTTTTTTTTGTGTGTCAGTCCTGGGGCTTGAACTCAGGTCTGGCACTGTTCCTGAGCTTTTGTGTTCAAGACTAGTTTTCCACCATTTGAGCCATACTTCATTTTCAGCTCTCTCTCTTTTTTGTGAGTAACTGGACATAAGAGTCACATAGACTTTCTTCCTGGGCTGGCTTCAAACCATGATCCTCAGACCTCACCTTTCTGAGTAGCTAGGATTACAAGTGTAAGCCACTGGTGCCCAGCTCAAAAGAACTTTTAAAAACTCTACCTTCATAGTTATTTAAACCCCCCTGCTTCTAGCTTTGTCATATGTAAGTTCATAAAAGTTCTAGCCTGTTCTTTCTCCTGCCCTTACAATATCCATACGTGTGTGTCCAGTGCCTACGTTTATTAACCTGAGCTCTAGCAAATGCTAGCCCTACAAAAGCTTATTGGAGCAGTCACTTAATCAAAGGAGAGTGTTTTTCTTCCTCCTGCCCCTTGAGGGAGCAGCCCCCAAGCTCTCCTCTAGCCGTGTGAAGCTGCGGTGAGACAAGAGCTTCGTGCAAGCACACTGTGAACTGTGTTCTGCATTATGAGCTTTCTTCCTTTTTCATTTCCACTTGGCACATGTGCAAAAGAGGCATGGACTGCATTGCTTTTGTTCTGTTCTTATCAGTTGCTGGTGATTGTAGGGGAGACCACCTACCTGATCTGTGGGGGAGGCACCCCTGGGTAAACCTGCCCTTCTTCCGGCAGTCCTCCCTTCCTTGAGATAGAAGTTGTCTTTTGTTAGCTTTTGGATCTCCCATGTTGATGTCTCCAGAAATAAGCTGAAGACTTTTGATCTAGCTAAACCAAGACAGTTAGCAAAAGCCACCTATAACCTCAGGTGAAAAGAAATACAGATTATCTTCCTTTACTTCCTAAACTGGCACAAGAAGAAGTAAAATGAAGGTTTCTCAAGTGCTACCCAGTAATAAAGCTGGGGATTTCTGAAGAGACTGTGGTATAGTGCTGGAAGGGCACCCACTGGCCTTCTCAGCTTCCCTTTATAAACTCCTGGTCTCTTTTGTCTTGGGATTAGGTGCCCACGTGACTAGTTGGAATACAATGCGCCTCTCCCAGCCTCTCCCTGCAGCTTTTCCTTTCACAGTGACCCAGATGTGAGGGGCTGTGGGAGAGGTCAGCCTGCCAGCCATCCTTTTCCACACTGGCCAGGAGAAAGTTACAGCCAACCTGCCTTTAAGAGCCTAGCCTAGTATTCCTGACTGAGTGACAGCAGCAAGGAGAGACAGTCGCTTGTTAGCAGAAAAACAGAGCATTTGTTGATCTCACATCCTTTCTCCATGTGTTTTCTAGCGTGGATTATTGACAGTCATGGAACACTGAAGAATGCTTGAATGCTGAAGTGGGCCAGCAAGGCAACGAGGGACAGATGACACTGGCTTGAGGAAGTAACTTGGTGCACCCGCAGAGTCTTCCATTGGGAGGTCCAGCTGTGTGTGCACAAGCACACACACCCAGGTGTCCTCCCCTGTCAGTAATGGGCTGTTGAAAGGAGAAACTTGATCCCTAACTGCCCTGTGGAGATGGAGGATGAAGAACTGGAGTGTCCAAACTCCTCCTCAGAAAAGCGCTATTTTCCTGAGTCCCTGGACTCCAGTGATGGGGATGAGGAGGTTGTTCTGACCTGTGAGGACCTGGAAGTGAACCCTTTTGACGGACTACCATACTCATCACGCTATTACAAACTTCTCAAAGAAAGAGAAGACCTCCCAATATGGAAAGAAAAATACTCCTTTATGGAGAATCTGCTGCAAAATCAGATTGTGATTATTTCAGGAGATGCCAAATGTGGCAAGAGCTCTCAGGTGAGTAAAAAAAAGAATCCTTTTTTGTAATTCTGGTCCTGGGGCTTGAACTCAGGGCCGGAGCATTGCTTGCTCAACGATAATGCCCTACCACATGAAGCCTCAGCTCCACTTCCCGTTTTTTTTTTTGGGGGGGGGGAGTTTCTTATGGCGGTTAATTGGATATGGGGGTCTCACAGACTTTGCTACCTGGGCTACTTTGAACTATGATCCTCAGATATCAACCTCCTGAACAGCTAGGATTATAGACATGAGCCACCAGTGTCTGGCTAGCTACAAAACTTTTTGCTTTATGTGTTACGATGCTTTTTATTACTTAGGTAATTTAATACAACACAGCCTAGGGTTCTATTTTTATTAATAATACCCAAATCAATTGACAGCTGAATAACACCTAATACTTACATGGATATTATGTTTAGTAAATCACAGAATTTCCTCTAGAATAATTTACTTCTGTATACATGTTGTACCAAAAGATGTAATTGGTGCTATTTTCCCACCAGCAATTTGGGGATTAACCTTTATGTTTACACATCAGTGGTCTGGTAGTCAACATGTTAGATAGCTAATGAATACTTACTTCAAATTTGTTGTATTTAGACTTTAGGATTTGACTCAAGTCAGATCTATGTCAGATCTATGTTTTAGTCTTAAGATGAAGATTCTTAAAATGTAAGAAATAAGGCTGGGAATGTAGCTTAGTTGTAGAGTGCTTGCCTAGCATGCATGAAGCCCTGGATTCTGTTCCTTAGTACCACATAAACAGGAAAAGCTAGAAGTGGCACTGTAGCTCAAGTGGTAGAGTGCTAGCCTTGAGCAAAAGAAACAGTGATAGTGCCCAGGCTCTGAGTTCAAGCCCCAGGACTGGCAAAAAGAAAAAAAAGAAAAGAAAAAGATAAGAAATAGAGCAGACCAGCTCCGAAAGGACCTCATCATTTTCACATGGCAGAGCTGGCCCAGGGGATTTGATCACTTGTCTCATATCACATGATTTCCAAATTGGGACAAAAAAAGAGTACTTTTCACTGTATACTGATAATTCCAAGTTGATTGTTATCTTTGGCACTTTCTTGTAATTTGAAGAAAGAGGAGGGAGGGTGGGACAGTGTTTTAATAATCTGATATCAAGGATTTGTCATGTTCTGTTACTTGTTCTGATGAGTTACTGCTATAATGATTGATTTTAGTTCACTATGACTTAAATGAGTATGATTTTTCTGATTTATGTGGACAAAGTAGCAATTTAAAAAAAAATTTCTGGATACATGTATACGTGTGTGTATATGTGTGTATGTGTGTTTATTTTTGTTTTTGTTTTAATGCTGGGGAAGCAAACCTAAGAATTTGTAGAGGGTAAGCAATCCTCTGCCACTGAGCTACATCCCCAACTTTAAGTTTTTATTTTGTGATAATCCAGACTTTAAAAAAGTTGTAATAACAATACAGAGATTTATGTCCTTCACCTGGATTTCTTATGAAATATTTAACCACACTTGATTTTTTGTCTTCTTGCCTATCCTTGTTCCACACTTATGAATACACATATTTATTCCACACCTTTTAAGAATAAATTGATGTTGCTGTATGTCATATATACCTATATTCCCAGCCTTTAGGAGACTGAGGCAGAACGAATGTGAGTTTGAGACTAGCCTGGGCTACATATGTGAGAAAAACTGTCTTTTCTAACAAACTGTGTTGCTTAAAAGTTCCTGCTTTGGCCTGGTGCCTTGGCTTTTTGTTCAGGAAAACAAGAGCTGCTTTGGGATAAGGAAGGATCTTTGAAATGTAAGTTTTTTGTCTTAAACTGATTTCTTTTAAAGGTGGAATGAGACACACTTCAGATTGTTAAAGAACTAGCTTGGGGGTTCCATGATATTTTGAGATTACTTGTATACTGTTAATCTTATTTCAAAGTCACATTATGTAAATATAGTTTACCCTATTCAAACTAGCCAGTCATGAGCAGACTGTTAACCTGAGCTCAGCCAATTGGAATGGAGGAGCGGGGCCAGCTGTATTAGGGATAAATAGGGGAGCAGCCTGTCAGTGCTTGCTTGCCGGGGATTTTTGGCTGATGGCACACCCTTCTGCAGAAGTAGATTTTGCCTGGCAGAGACAGTTCTTTTTTTAATTTTTATTTTATTTATTTATTTTGTCAGTCATGGGGCTTCAACTCTGGGCCTGGGCACTGTCCCTCAGCTCTTTAGATCAAGGCTAGTGCTCTACCACTTGAGCCACAGCGCCACTTCCGGTTTTCTGAGTGGCTCTTTAGGAGATAAGAGTCTCATGGGGGGGCGGGGGAGGATAGGATGGGAAGGGGAAAAAAAGAGGAGGCTACAATGCTTGATAAGAAATGTACTCATTATCTTGCCCATGTAATTGTAACCCCTCTGTACAATATTTTCACAATAATAAAAAAAATATTAAAAAAAAAGAGTCTCATAACCTTTCCTGCCCGGGCTGGCTTTGAACCACAATCCTCAGATCTCAGCCTCCTGAGTAGCTAGGATTACAGGCATGGTCCTCAGATCTCAGTCTTCTGAGTAGCTAAGATCATAGGCATGAGGTACTGGTGCCTGGCAGTTCTTTATTTTTGTGTGTATTGTTGTGATTCTAGGGGTTCTTGGAGAACAAACTTATAACACATGGCAAGACCCTGTCTCAAACACACACACACACACACACACACACACACACACACACACACACACACACACACACACACGAAAAACAAACATAGAGACAAAGAGATGGTTAGAATGATTATGTGATGTCTTTTGCCCCATATATTTCAATGTATGTCAAAAACAGTGAAATATGCTATATATATATATATATATATATATATATATATATACATATATATATTTATGTATGTATATATATATAAAACACTAAATATTTTATATAATCATCAAAGTAGGAAATGCAAATGTTGGTATCTTATTATCTAATGTCTACCCAATTACATTTAATCAATCTTACATAATTTTGATAGAATACATTTTCTTGTTGGAAATCAGTCCAAGACTACATTATATTTCATTGTCACGGTAGCTTATTCCTGTAATCTCAGCTACTCAGAAAGCTGAGATCTGAGGATTGAGATTTGAAGCCAGCCTAGAGAAACAAATCTGTGAAACTTTGATCTCCAGTTAGCCAGCAAAAAGCCATAAATATGTGTATGGCACTTGTGGTAGAGCATTAGCCTTGAGCACAAAACTCTGGGGCCACACCCAGGCCCAGAGTTCAAACCTGAAGACCAAAAAAAACCAAAAACCAAAACAACAAAAAAAAACCCACCTTCCCCTGCACAGCTCAGATAGGAACTCTGACTGTGTGAAGTAGGCTGTTGTCATACCCTGACCTGCCGGTGCTTCTGTGACTCCTTCACCTTTTAAGCACTACATTGGTGGTAGCCAAATGGTGGTTTGTCTAATCCTGTCATGCCTTCTTCATTTATTATTTGGAATTCTTCTGTAAGGCTCAGCATTCTCTTCATTATTATTTATTTATTCAGCTGTTCATATCCATGTAGACTCATTCTGTGAATTATAATTTTTAATAGCCCATTAGTTTTGTTGTTTGAGTTGTCCTGGATGTGGCTAGTGGACCTCCTCAAACGATGTCTTTGTCCCTCTGACTTGTCTGCATGAGTTTTGAGCTCTTTAGCTATTCTTCCAGGTTCATCCAGTGTGTTTCCTGTCCCAGTCATTTTTCTCAAGGATTCTTGTTCCTTTTAGCAGCAAATTTCATTTAGAACCAGGATGGCTGCAGTAGTTGTGCCCCTTGAATGAGGAACTATGTATGAGAGTACACCTACTTGCACACTTGTCTGTCCATCTGTCTACATAGCTGTTTGTCTTTTTGTCTCTCTAGTACTTTTATTTCCCTCTATCTTCCTCAATTTCTCTCTTTTTATTGTTTTCTACCTCCTCATATTTCTATTCATTTATCTCTCATACTTCCTTTTCCCTGTTAGTAAATGTTCGTACTGATGCCTCCAACACCAGTTCAGCACCACAGCGTTCACTGCAGTCTTCTCAGTTTCCATATTTGTAAATTCTTTATGAGAAACATGGCTGTCGTTGTTTAGAATATCCTTACTTACTATGACTCTTAGTCATAGCTTCAAAATTGCTAACTCATACTAGTTGTTGTTGCTGTTGTTGTTTTCTTGTGCCTGTCCTAGGGCTTGAACTCAGGGCCTGGGCTCTATCCCTAAGCTCTTTTGCTCAAGGCTAATGTTCTACCACTTGAGCCATAGCTCCACTTCGGGCATTTTGGTGGTTAATTAGAGATAAAAGTCTCATGGACTCTTTTGCTCAGGCTGACTTCCAACTATGATCCTCAGATCTCAGCCTCCTGAGTAGCTAGGATTCTAGTTATAAGCTACTAGTCTGACTTCATACTAGATTTTTTTTTCTTGTCGGTTGTGGGGCTTGAACTCAGGGCCAGGGTACCGTTCTTGAGCTCTTTCACTCCAGGATAGTGCTCTACTTCTTTGAGCCACAGCACCACTTCCAGTTCTTGAGTGGTTTGTTGGAGATAAGAGTCTTACAGGGACTTTTCTGCCTGGGCTGGCTTTGAACCTCGATCCTCAGATCTCAGCCTTCTGAGTAGTTAGAATCACAGGTGTGAGCCACCAGTGCTCAGCAGGCTTCATACCAGTTTGTGTATACACACACACACACACACACACACACACACACATACACAGAGACATATATACAAACACATACATATATTTGAGTTTTCTATAGGAATTTGTATTCTTTTAGAATTAGAATTTATAATATATTAATGCTTAGCCATGGTTTCTGTTATTTTTATCATGAAGCCATTTTAGTGATTCATGCTTATTTTCTGTGTAAGGGGAAGGCAGTAAGTACCTTTAGTTTCAGAGAAGTCAATAATGTACTCAAGTGATGAGGGAAAAAAACTGTTCATTGATTTCTTAATTCAGGAAACCATTTGATTTTTTAAAAATATTT